TCCAGATTCGTAAGATCATCAGAGATCATCGCCATGATCATCGTATTCACCCAAATCTCCAGAACTTCAAGGATCCCCTCAGATATTCATCAGCGGTGTCAAGCGTGCTAAAGATCACTTGCGATTTCCTCCAAGTTAGTGATAGCTTTTGTTCCTTCTTTGAGAGGTTTGTAGAATTAGGATGTGATCGAAAGCTGAGGCAAGAAACATTTAGGTTGAACTGAGAGGTTTGAGTAGATTGAGAGTGAGAGATTCATAGGGAGTTTGGTGAGACAGAGTTGTTAGGGAGATGAAGGTCTGGAAACGAGAGAGAGGTGTGGGAAGGCAGAGGAGCGTCGTTAGGGTTTGGAGACAGTGAACAGTAGTGAGGGAGAGTTAGGAGAAGTTTAGTTTAGTTTTGTTGAGGCTGAGGGAGAATTGGACTCGGGCTTAGGCCCATTTGCAAGGTTTGCTAACCATCCCCCTTTTTCCCATTGGTACCCCTCTCCCCATGCGCTGTTGTTTTGGGCCATAGCCCAGACTTGCTATTCGCACCCCCCAGTCTGGGGCCCATTGGAAATTACAAGGCGAATATTTGTTATACGCCCCCCCCCCCCCCCGTTTTTTTTCTTTTCCTTGTTTTTTAGGCTTTTCTGAGTAGTACTGGGCCTAGCACGCATGCTATTGGTACCCCCCTCCTGAGCCCAATGCATCTTTGAACTATAAATAATTGCTTTTTGCCACGCATTATTTTCATTTTTAATTGATTTTCATGTTTGCATATAGTTTACTCAATAAATCATAATAAATTGAAATTTGGTCATTTTTACATGGGATTTTTCCCCTCATTTTCATAAAAACATCAAGAAAATTATAAGAAAATAAAATTGGCATTTCATGCATTTTTTCATTTTTTGGTTTATTTTTACTTTTTATGGCATTTATTTCATTTTCACTTGGTATATGTTACTTGCTGAATTTAGTATGACCATTGTATTTCATATTTTGAACCATCAACTTTAGGGTGATCAGGATTAGGGTTTCACAACAATTAGGTGCAGTTTAGGGCATAGTTTTGGGATTTTAAAATTGATTTAGGTCCTGGGGTTTGTATGGGGTATAGGGTACATAGTTAGGGTCCCCTAGAAATTTAATTATGATTTTATGTTGAGTTTTACTTTTTTTACCTGATTTTTGCAATTTGGGTGGTATTGGTGTGTTTCCCACTTGGGATGTTGCTTTGTTTGTTGGGTTTTGGGTATTTCTTTAGGGGTGTGGGGCTTGGGCTTGGCTTGTGGAGCATGGGGAAGCATGTGAGAAGATTGAAGGCAAGTATCAATACTTGGAGCTTAGGGATTCTTGTTCTTGAAGATGGTTTTTTTGAAGACATAGGAAATAGGGAAAAATAGGCAGAGCTTTAAATTAGACTGAATTCTTCCACAAACATGGAAAGCATCTTGTGCTTCCATTCCTCCCAATGACTAAAAGTCCTCCTAAGATATTCACATCCCTCCTTTGGAGGGATAAGTGGCTTATCTTGGGAGTAGAACTTTGAGGGAACCTGTCTCTCATAATGTTAAACACTTATAGGCTTCCTTTGGTTGTCAATAAGCTGTTTAGCATTCAACCTATTCTGTTAAGTGATTCTCTTCTGGAGTGCTTGCCTTGAAGAAAGAAGTTCATTGAAGATGAAATTCATTGCATTAAAGATTGGTAAAGATGATACATGTTCCTGTCAAAGCTACCCAATTGTTGGATTAGGGTTTTACTGCTGTCTGAAGCTGTCAACTGCTGGGGTTCATTGCTTGCTAAAGCTGGGTGTTTGCTTGGAGTGTATAGGGTCACTGAAGAGTTGATTTTGAGGTTCACTTGAAGATGTTACTGTTTTGCTGTTAATCAACTGTCAGAGTTTGATGTTTTTCAGAGCTGCTGCTGTAGGAGCTGGTGTGCTGTCAGAGCTGGTTTTGGGGGTTTTATTTTCTTTGCTGTATTGTTTGTTAATTTCCCCTTAGGTTTGAAGTGAAGCCGTTTCACTTTGCCTATTGTATTCTCAGGTTCGAGGTTGAGTGGGGCTCCCTTGCCTCGCTTGTATTGCTGCATCTCATGCATTTTACTCTTTACTGTATATATGTTGTTTCTTTTCCGTTTATCCCCTAGGATCTCTGTTTCTCTCTGCACAAGAGAGAAGTATGACAGACATTAGGTGTTAATCCATGCATGACGACCTTAGGGTAGTTTTGATTCCCATTTTAACCATAGGTTTTTAGAGTTCTTTCTCTTCTATCTCAAAATCAGTCAAAACACAGTAATAAGATTTCAAACATCAATAAAAGACAGTTCTTGCGTAAAAAACTGAAAACCAATCAAATTGTCATTTTTGTCCGCTTGGACCCGTAATCAGGAGAAAACCTTTTTCAGAAGGATAAAAGATAAACAGACAAATCTGTGTCTTCCGTGGCCCGAACTACGTTTGCTCTGATCTTTCATGCTGTATGAAAGTACGTAGGCATAGGATGCGATATCCTAGCGAGCAACCTTCCCCTCCTTTCCAGTAGGTAGGCGAACTACGTTGACTCTGATTTCTCATTCCAGACGGGAATACGTAGTCATAAAGTGCGATACTTTGCCGAGTCATTTTCTTTTCTTTTTAACCCTTGACCTGTAGAATAGATAGAATGACAATCCGTACTAGAAAACAAGCGTGGATCCCGTCGAGTACGAAGGACGTGAGGGGTGCTAATACCTTCCCCTCGCGTAACCGACTCCCGAATCCAGGATTTGGTTGCGATGACCATTACTTTCCCGTGTTTGCGGTAGGTTTACTCTGAGCGTTTCCTTTCCCTCCTTTGGGATAAATAACGCACGGTGGCGACTCTTCTGTTTAGCCGGCGCCAATTTTCGCAGTAGCGACAGTATGGGATAGTTAATACTTAGGTAAAGTGTTGACACAGAGGCCCTTATGAGGTTAAAAGTGGGTCGCCAGATGATTATGTTGTAAGAAGATGGGGAATCCACTACAAAATACCTAACTTTTATCCACTACAAAATACCTAACTTTTATCATTTTAGCATTCTCTTTTAGTCTTAACACTGTCTGGGGAGTAATATAGCCTTTCACCTAGACCTATTCGTCCAGGTCTAACTTGAGTCTTTCAAAAGCGTGTCAATATAGGACATCAACCGAACTTCCTGAATCTATCAGTACTCGCTTGATCTCCCAATCATCACACTACACCATTATGATAATGGGGTAATTTTCATAAGGGGGCCAAGCAGAATATTTATGGGAGAAGGTGATTTTAGGCTCTAGATCACCCCCGGGTCTAAATTCGGCTTACTAGATAAATCTTTTGCTACCATGACTTGTCAGGCGTACCTTCTATGAGATGAGCTAGATTATCCTCCTCTAACAAATCCCATTATGGTGTTGAGAATCTGGCGGAATGTATTGTCTCCGTCTCTTCTCTCTACTTCTTTGTCTTTTTTGAACCCGAGGCTTTTAGGTGGCTCTCACCCCTAAATTCGGGATTTTCCTTCAGTTTGCTTAGATGTTCTCTATACATTTTCAAGTGGCCCTATTGAATGAGACGCTCAATAACTCACTTGAGTTGGTAGTAGTAATCAGTGTGATGACCCTTCACCTTATGATATTTACACTTCCTGTTAGGTTCTAGTCCCATGATGTCTGACTTGGAAGCTAGTGAGAGTAAGACGTCATGGGTGTGGAGAACTTTGCACTATATTTTTTTATCGACGAGTGTTGAGAGGTGTGAAGTTATCTATGAGCCTCCCACTACGCTTGAAGGTCATTTTATCCCTCACAAGAGAGGTGTAGTCACTTATGCATTGTTGTTACGATAAATTTGATTCGTCTGAGGCACCCTTTTTTATGTCTCTGGCTTTCTTCTCTACATTACTCTTTTCCCCCCTTAATGTAAAATTCGGCTCATGCCATGACTTGGGTCGTGGAAACAACGAGCTTTTGGGTAAGAGACTCATTGAAATGCTCAACCACCAATCCATTCTTGAATGTTCCCACAAACATTTTCTAGTTTGGATGAATCACCTTGGTGGACGCCTCGTTGAAATATGTGATGTGCTCCTTTAATGACTTGGCATGCCCCTGGCGGACAATGAATATACTAGTTGTTGAAACCTTTTGGTGCTTACTTGCCAAAAGCTAATGGACCAGCTTCCTCAAGAGGTCTTGATAACTAATTAATGAAAGACGGAAGAGGTTCATTAGCCACCTCAAGGCGCCTCCTTGAAAGTGTTGGACAAGAGCTTGCAATTTAAGTATTCGGATGTGCCTATAATCACCATCTAAGTATGAGGACAACGATGTTTTCTAGTTTGAAGCTTAGTTGGAATGGCACAAGTCTTCCTTAGTAGCTCACATCTCTATTAAGTCCTTGTTGTCACCGCTGCTAGCATGCTTGTCAAAATCGAAATCTCGATAAATATCGTTAGGGTATGGAAAAAATGTAAATTGTAGGACCGTAACTCTGATTGCAAGATCCCAGCAAATAGACAAAATTATATAAATAACTAAAAAAAATAACCTTAACATAAAATTCTCATTAACTTAATCATAATAGCAAATATTCAATTAAAAAAAACATAACTTCCTCAATCATAATGTTCATAACAGCAACTCAACATAACCGTTTCAAACACATTCCAAACTACATCATCTTAACTCAAATATTATCTAAAATATATCATTTAACAAATCCTTCAAGGCATTATGATTATCAAGGCAAGAATCTTTTTTTTCTCCATCAAACTCATCATCGAGGTTGTGAATCTCCAAATCATTTTCAATAGTGGCAACTTCAATTACATTCCCTCCTTCAGCAGTGGTAGCATCAATTACATTCTCTCCTTCAGCAGTGGCAGCTTCAAAATCATCATTTTCTATAGTAAAATCTAAAATTTTATTTTCAAAATCTTCATCATATTTGACAATCCACTCATTAATAGACTCAATTTCATCAAGGTTATACTCATTTTTTTCTGCTTTATTTCTGCTTGGCCAATTTTGAATTGGTCATAACAAAAACTACATCATTCATCATCTTTTGCTTAAGAAGACTTCTCCTCTTTGTGTGAACCTAATAGATTCAAACTTAATCAATATATATCAGCTGGTAGAGTTCTTTCAAAACTGAAATTTTAATATAAAGTTTACCATTTCGAAAGCACTCCAATTTCTAACACATCTAGATGAACTAAAAGTTAAGCTTAGCACGCAAGTTGCAAAAGCTTGAAGCTCCGGATGCTCGTCGCTATATGACTCCCACCATTGGGCTGAATTTTTGGTTTTGAATGCAGCCATTGTAATCGGACTACCAAAGAATTTTGCTTTTTTCTTAAAATCCTAAAGTTGTGCATCAATTTTGTGAATTTCACCAACATCTTCTACCATTCTTTGCAAGCAATCATACAATCCACGCTTAACTTCACAATCAGCTTTAAAATCAACATTGTAGTGTAGTTGAGGATTGAGGTAGTATCATGCAACATGTAGAGGTGTATGGAGTTGTTTATCCCACCTTTCATCAATAATATACCATAAAGGCTTGAAACTAAATTATTTAAAAAAAATAATGAGTTAGTTGCGGTACTGTCATACCCTAATTTTTACCCCTAAGATCCCAGTCTTTTTTGCATCTTCACAATGCAACAAGATCACAATTTGGTTCTCTCCTTACCCTCTCATCCTTGGGTTTGTATTTGCAGAGATCACGGAGCACCTTTCTTTGTATCTTTTCATTTGTGTTTATATGATTTATGTTATACTAATCACTAATCAAAATATCAAAATATCAAAAAAAATATATGCTTTGCTCCTTTTGTTTCTTTGCAAGGTAGAGTTTTGTATCAAAAGCATCAAGCATGGTTCCTCAGCTAGGGTTTTGGTCCCTCAAGTTAAAATGTGGTCAACCATTGATTCTCAAGGGCCTCTTCATTAAGGCATGGCCTCTAATCTCAAAGTATTGATCTCAAGTATCATTCAACTTCATTTTTTATCACAGATATCTCAAGGTTTAGTATTTTACTCCTCAAGAAAAGTTAAAGGTTCATCCTTGGATCAATGCTTTGAGGAAATCTTGGATGAGTTTTGTAGCCATATCTCATTAAATTCAAGATCAGGATTTGGTTTCCTATTTCAAGAGGTTTTGGGAGCATTATTCTTTAAGAGTGTTGGCCATTGTTAAGAGCTCTTCATGGCTACAAAGTTCAAGGTGTCATTTCAAAATTCAAATTCAAGTGCATCCTTCACCAATTCAAGCTCACTTCAAGTAACCAAGGTAAAGTAAATCCAAATGGTTAAGGTTGTTAGACAACAACGAATTGTATAGAGGGAGGGGGTGAATAGACACCCAAGTCAAAATCACCAAATAAAATTTGGGTTTCAAAGTTATTTGAAAAAGAGTGTGCGCGAAACATTTTGGTGTGGATTGACACGTCTATACGAACCTAGTTATTGGAACTCGGATATGCAAAGCCAATTATGGTATGACAAACATAATAATCTAATTAAACCTTTAATCGAGTATTACGTTATTACTCGTTTAAACTAATTGACCTAGTAATGCTATTTCCAATGATAATGAGCAAAAATATTGAGCTATGCAATTTATCGAACACTTTGTGTGCAAACGAATTTTCAAAATTTCCTTTGTGTTATTGTTGATATTAAAACCACTTATAATCAAAAGTGATTATATGCTAATCAACAATCAATTTAAAACAAAAAAAAAAACTCATAGGAAAATTCTTAAGAGTCGATCGATTGATCAAAACTATTTGACAAATTTTGTAATGAATAATAAAGCAAGTAAAGAGATAATAGAGAGATCGACACGAGGATTTATTTACGCAGTTCCCCACTTTTGTCCTCGCGTGTGGGTACGTCTGTGCCTAATTTCTAATGTGGAATTAGGATATTTTCTTACTATGAAAAAAGTCAATGTACAGGAGAAGTGTTCAATAGCAACCATACAAACACCATTGGTTTTTATGTTGATTCAACTCCTTCTCTTCTTTTGATCTTGAAAAAGACCAAGATAACAATGGATTCCAATTGACTTGTCGATATTTCTACTCCTTTGCGTTCTTTATCTCCATGTTTTCGTGCACGATCAATTGCATCGATTATTCCACAAGACTTCAATTTCATTCGCTGCTCTCTGTTATTTCCTTTGTGTTCTTTATCTACAAAGGATCCTTTGTGTACTTTATCTCCAAAGGCTTTCACAATGTCGTAATCCTCTCTTGAACGTCTTGTACGAAAACCCCCAAATCTATACACGATCTTGAAGGACAAACCCGCTATTTTTTCAGAAGAAGACCCCTACAAATCTCAATCCGATATTCTCGACTACACAAGAACCTAATCGGACGTTATCAGGCCTTCTCCTAGCTGGAACCCCAATAAGAGATTATTATGTGTGATTTGTCAGTGTGTAGATATAGGATGGAGGTTGAAGATGATATGCAAATGCAGACTAATTTTATGGTATTACCAGTTTGGAATGAAGCATGAATGATGTATTTATAATTTTAGAAGATTTGTGGCAAAGTGGTAATTTTTGAAATAAAAGGAAATAAAAAAATTGACCAGCTTAAACAGTATGTGTATGTCGCGGTGAGACTCAAATATCAAGCTATTAAATTAAATTGAATCACAAATCATAATTCACCATCGATCTTTAATTTATCCAAGGGAAAGGAAAAAGAATGAATAACCCAAAATATGCAATGCAAAAACAAAGCAAAAGAGAATCTAAGGTTCGGGGGTTAGTTATACCTAGGGAAGGTGCTAGCATCCTAAGTATATGTAGTACTCTACAGGAACCTCTTGTTTTATTGTGTTGTTTGTTATTTTGTCTTCTAAGGAAAAAGGGAGACCTAAGGTTTTATTTCTAAGTATGCTCGCCAAGACATCGCATCTCGTGCCTACGTATCCTGACAGGAATAGAATCAGAGCATTCGTATTTCTTCTCAATAAGGGTAAACAAAGTTGTTGATTGGTTTTAGGAGAAGAGACAAGTTGTCATCTTAAGGAGAATGCTCGACTAAACCACTACAAACATGCAGAAGATGAATCTTTGCTTCACATTAAGAGAAGGGCTCCAACTCGGATATAGAATCGACAAGCATGTCACATACTTCTCTCAAGTGAAAAAAAATCTACATATTTCTCAACTATGTCACAGGGTAGGAGAATTTTATCTCGACTAAGGATGACTCATGTCTAATTCTCTCATGGGAGAAAAGGGAACCTAATTGTAGGTTGTCTAGTTAACATCCGAAGGAAACTAACCTAATTCTATGAATCTAAAATAAGATTGAAGGGGAAAGCTATCTTATTGTTATCATGCAATAATTGATCCTAATGTCTAATATTGATTCGATTTATCGAAGACAAAGTCGAATCGAGAACCTAAGGGGACTTGGAGATCCAAATCATATAGGCATGTCAAACATCCATGAGTAAATTGACAAGTAACTAATCACGGTTAATCAAATTTTTAATGAAGATTCACTAAAAAATTAATCAATCAATCAATTAGAATTTTAAAAAAATTCAATTAATCCATTAAAAATTTAATTAATCAAAATTAGGACTTTTAATTAATAATAAAACTAAAAACTAAAAATAAATAAATAAATCTAAATAAATAAATCAAAAGGGTGTAAAAAAAATTACCATGGATGTGTAGCTTTTTTTAAAAAAAACATGGGGTGTGACACCAAGTTAGACATTAACCTAAGGACCATTAACATAAACCTTAATTTTAATAGTATAATAATAATAACTAAATAAAAAGTTAAATTTTAAAAAACATTAAAAAAATAGAAAATAATAATATAAAAAATATAGAAAGAAAACGGCACAAAGAGGCCTCATCCCTTTTTTTTTCTCTGCTTAATAACAAGATAAAAAAAATTAGAGTTTAACCAAATGATGTTTTTTTTTTACTTTTTTCAAATTTTAGTATATTATCCAATGACATCTTGACACGTGTTCTTATAATAAAAGAAAATAATAATAAAATTAAAACACAATTAAACAGAGGAAGTTCCATTTCAAATTCATTTTCTTCAATCTCTCTCATTCGATCTCAATGCTCTCTACCTCTCAAACCAATTTAAAAAAAAACAAATTCACATAGATTTATGGCACATAATTGCAATATAGTCATAACAACCAGACAGGTGATAAAATAAATTAAAGCAAGCACCCAACAAAAACAGAGAAGAGCACGAGTTACCGAAATTGAAGTGTCGCAGCACGAGCTTGTTACGTGGAACAAAGTCATATCTGAGCACAAAAGAGGCATCAGTTGGTGTGTGTTGGCGGAGTCTTGATGGAGTGCAGCGTCAAAGCAGTTGCAACCGATTCTCAGCAGCGATTACGTGGATGACTCCGGAAGCAGTGCGACGATGGAGCTCACGATTCTAACTTCCTTTTACTTTTCCTGTTTTCTTTGAATCCAATCTCTTGTTATTTTGAATTTTGTTTGTGTATACTTTGTTCTTTTCTAATGCATATATAAAGGACTAGAAAATAGACAAGAATGATAAAAACAATTAACACAATATTTTTTTTGTTTTTTATAATAAGACAAAATAAAAGAAATTAAAAATCATGTTTTTGTGTTTTTTATAATAAGACAAGAATTAAAAGAATTAAAAATCTTGTTTTGTCTTTTTTATGATAAGAAAAAAATAAAATGAATTAAAAATCATATTTTTTTGTGTTTTTTTTATAATAAAACAAGAATAAAAAAATTAAAAATTATGTTTTTTTGTGTTTTTTCATAAAAAAGAAAATATTAATAAACAAACTAAAAATAAAATTAATTAATAAAAATAAAAATTTTAAATTAAATATAAATAAATTAAATAATTATTTAAATAAAAATGATTAAAAACAAAATAAAAAGTCGGGCAGAAAAGTGCTCGAAAAAATAAAATAAACACACCAAAATAATCAGCGCGAAATAAACATATTGGAAAAATACATCGTTTGGTCAGATTTTGAAATAAATTTAGACCGATTTGTATATAAGTTCATCAAATTTATTCTGACTGACATTTTGGATACTATGCAAGATGAAGTGTATGTTATGTTATGCAGATGATGCAAAACAGAATCTTAGGTTAAAAAATTAGGGGATGACAGATGCCCTATTTAAGTTTCTTCTATCCGGAGATATGGAGATTGAAATCTTCGTCTCGACGTGATAGGAGAGACTTAAATACAAACATGCACAATTTTTGGTCCTAAGATGCCACAAAATGCTTATGCTTATGATATGATAT